CCCATGGGCAGAGGAAACCTCGACACCGGCGCGGATTACGTGATCCTGGATGGGAGGGGGGAAAGGGAAGAGGCGGGGCTGCAAGGCGGAGGCGGAGCCTGAGAGGAGAGGAGAGGCCCCGCCCCCCTCGACCCTCCCGCTCGCTGGATCTCCGCTTCCCTTCGTGAGTCTCGTTTCGCTCCGGCAGGATCGGCGCTGGATCCCTCGGGAGAGGCTTGTGGATCCCGCTCGGGGCAGGTCTGGCTGCTCTCCCTCCGGCCTTTGGGGCGCCCCTCCCGCCAGGAGAGCTTTCCCCCCCCGCCAGGAGGAAGGTAGCTGCGGATCCGCCTCTCCGGCTTCCCGGGTTTTCCTTGGGGAGATTCGGCTCTGGCGTCGCCTGCAGGGAGCGGATCCCTCCCTTCCCTCCAGGGGGGCAAAGGGGGTCCCTCCCTCCCCGGGCTGGATCTGCCCCCTCCTCGCCCGGCCCAGGATCCCCGCGGGGCTCCGGGTGGATCCGGGAAGGAGCTTTTGGGGAAGTTGCTTTCAGAAGGTCTCTCTGTGGTCCGTCAGAGCAGAAGGTCTCTGAGCATGCATATCCCTCAATTGCGGTTGAAAAAACGGAGTAAGCGGAGCGTTAAAACATGTATTGAGATTTGTAACGTGGTCTTCACACACACTGACCTCATTGCAACGGGGAGGGGAGCGTTTGGGGGGGAAAGAAAAGAAGTTTAAATGAGTTGAATTGAGCTCATGTTGCCTTAAGCCTCTTTCTTTGTCCTCTGTCTAAAAGGCGAAAAATAAAATCCTTTGTCTTTATGCTATTCTTTACTCCTGTTTTTAAAACGTGGGTAGAATTTCTAAACTTTATATTTTCTTAGTTTTGCTCAGAAACAGCTATGATGTGGCATCCCCTTCTTGGTGGATGTTTTACAAAGGAATTTGGAGGCTGGTCTTGTGAGCAGGTAGAAAAGAAACAAGCTGATGGCCAAAAGGCTGCCTTTCCTAATTGTACATATATTTTTGAAACACCTGTCTGGAAGAAAGAGCAGCCCTTTCCCACATGCTCTGCCCCATCTGATCTCTCTCATCTGTCTTTGAGTTTTCTTGCTCACAACTCTGCATCCGTCCCTGTTGGACTTCATCTTGCTGGTTTCTTCCATTTTGGCCCATCGAGACCTTGAATCAGGATTCTATCCCCATTACTTTGTATCCTCAACAAATAATCCTATTTTCTCCTCCCAACTCCAGCTCATTTATAGATTATGTTCAGCATTACTGTTGGCATCTGAGCCTTTCTCATTTCTCTTTGCAGGAGACCAGGGAGGATGTGGCCGTGAGCTCCGCAGAGGAGAAGGAGCGTTCTTGGATCGAGACCCACCAACCTTTAGCCCAGACTCCGTTCTAGAGAATTTGGAAATCGTGGCCCAGTTGGAGAAGCAGCTTCCTGCACAAAGGAGCAATGGACTAAGGAGAAATCAAACTGGTCAGCAGTGAGGGTCATTCCTGGATTTGACTCAGAGGGGGAACAGGTGACCCAGAGACCTCTTAGCTGCAACTTTAAAGGTGAGTAAACAAAATTTGATTAAATCTTGGTTTGGAGAATAAGCGTATAGTTTTTAAATTTTGATTTGACAAAACAAAATGCAGTGAAATTGGGATTTTGCTCCCATGTTTCTAGACTTAAGTGGGAGCCGCTGAGTATGGCTGAGTCCCCCCTTTCAGGCACAGCTGGAGAGAGACACACACAGCCATGGGGGTTCAGGACAGGGAGCCATCAGACTGTGACCATTTGAAGTTACGACGGACCCCCCCAGACACAAAAGGTACTTTTTGACCCAGATCCATAGTGGGTAGTCTCCATTATGGTTGTAAGTCGAGGACCACCTTAACGTATATTTTTTTTATTTATCATGAAATTTAGAAACCACCCATCTCACATAATAACTGATTTGCCTTGTTCGGAAAACACTTATCTATCCATTTGTGTCCACCCCTCTTGTAAAACACAACCTGAGGCGGGGACGCACGACAATAATAGAACCAAAACCAACAGAATGGGTGCCTGACACACACAGACTCACACACTCCAACAACCTCATCTCCAAATCCTCCAGTCCCACCTTTACTCTGTCTGAGGACCTGGGTGGGGAAAAACAGCCCTCTACACTTTCCATAAGGCTAGAAGGGTGGGGGTCCTGCAGGGTCCCCCAGGAAAGGGTCTTCCACAGGGCAGATGCTGCGACGGAGAAATCACACTTTCTGGGTCTCATTAGATGGCAAACCATAACGGTCTGAATCTGGGTTAATTATCAGTGTTATAATGGTTTGTCTCCTGTTCTTCAGCTGCTTGTTGCAAGTGAGTAAAGACACTGCCAGCCACTCTGACCTGGAACAAGTTCTGGTCTTGAACGTGTATTTGAATTCTTATATTTCTCCTCTCTGGATGATTTTCATAAAGATTCACACTCCTCAAAGATGCATACCTGGACCCTGGCATATTCAGAAGGGATTAAGAACCCCTTCGCTTTCGTCAGTTTTGTTACGCTGCAGCCATCCAAGCGAACTAAGATTGAGAGCTTTTGCAAGGAAGAGTGGCAGAAAATCCCCCAATCCAGGGGATCCAGGATGACTCTAACTCGATGAGTTAGCAGCGTCAAGTCATCCAAGTCATCCCATCCCGCAATCCAGGTATGCAAAGCTTGTGGCGTCACACCCCAAAAGACTCAAGAGGCTGTAATTGATGCCAAAGGTGTTTCCACAAAGTACCGAGCGAAGGCTCTGAATACTTTGTGCCAATGTGATATTTCAGTTTTTTCTTTTAAAAAAATCACAGACACTTCTAAAATTCGGTTTTCACTTTGTTATTAGATTAATCAGAAAAAACATTCATTTAAAATTTGGAAATGAAAAAGATTAAACATTAAATTTAACATATTCATGGAAAATTAAAACTAAGAAAAATTTATTAGGTCATTGACTGTCTAAAAGATGGAATGTTAAATTAGTTAAGATGTGTATAAACTGAAGATTATTGATGAATGCTAGAAAGTTATTTTCTGTTTGATTGATAGAATAAGAATAGTGTTGGCTTGAATATGAGACAGTATATATTAAGGGGAAAGAGGGAATTAGTTGTAATATTTTGAGATTTGTATTGATATTTAAATGTAATGGAATTATTGTACTCAGCTGCCACGTTAGTTTTCAAATATGCAAATATAATATTAGAAAATTAATAAAAAAAATAAAAAAAAAGAATTTCAACAACTGTAGAATCTGGCTGCTGCATAAGAAAATTGACAAAAGGGAAGGGGGGGTCTGAATATTTTCTGAATGCACTGTATGTCCTCAGTAAGGTGTGGTGCATTGAATCACGAGTGTGTGAGGCACGTGTAGGGAGCCACCAATGGCCCGCCCTTAACAGCAGAGGTCCATCCAAATCCCCAAGACATTTTTCCTAAAGTTCATCCAAAATCTACACCTTTGAATCCAACCCTGGAAGTCAGAAGTGTCCAGCGAGGGAGGATGGAGTCAAAAGATCCAAGATGGCGACTCTTTGTTCCTAATCAAAAAGCAGCAGGACAGCATGGCACAATTTGACCATCTAGACTCAGTCCATGCTCTGAAAACAGTCCTCTTGATTATTTTGAACAATACTTTAAGGATTATATTCACAGATCAAACAAAGAAACTCAACACAGGTTCAGTATGTCTATGTGTGTATGTGTGTGAACATACGAAAAAGACAATGTGAAAAAAGGAAGAAAAAAAAATCCCTCCAAAAAAGATAGTAAGAAAAAGAAACGTTGAATCTTCATCCTCAGGCAGCATATATTCAACGTCAACATTTTATCATTAAATAAACAACCGGATGTATCTTTGTTCCACCCCTCTCCCCGTTTTCTCCTCTCCAGATCTTCAGTTCTCTTCACTGATCAACAAAGGCCTAGTAAAAAAATAACAAAAATATCTGGGGGCCTTGACTTATGACTAACAACTTATGGCCAGAAATCCATTTCCAGTTGTGTTGATGCATCAAAGACTTCCTGTACTCCGCAAACATTATATATACACTTTGCCATTTCTGGTGTCTCTGAAGTTGATAAGAGTCCACAAATTGTCTCTCACATTCTGGGCATTCATAGGGTCTCTCTCTGGTGTGAATTGTCTGATGTTGGACTAGGATTGATTTCGTGGAAAAACGTTTTCCACATTTGAAGCACTTTTCATTTTTCTCCCCTCTGTGTGTTTTCTCATGTCTTCTAAGAGCTGAACTCTGTGATAAAAAGAAAACCCTCCAAAAAAGATAATAGGAAAAAGAAACTTTCGATCTTTATCCTCAGCCAGCACATATTCTACATCAACACTTTATCACTAAATAAGCAACCAGATGCATCCTAATTGCACCCACCCCCCTATTAAGGATTAGATTCATAGATCAAAGCAAGAAACTTAATACAAACATCTGTGTGTGAATATATGAAAAAGAGGATGTAGGAAAAAAAGGAAAAAAAAAACCCTCCAGAAAAGATACTAGGAAAAAGAAACTTTCAATCTTTGTCCTCAGTCAGCATATATTCAACATCAACACTTTTATCTCTAAATAAGCAACTGGATGCATCCTAATTCCACCCACCCCAATTTTCTCCTCTTTCAATCTTCAGTTCTCCTCACTGATCAACAAACGGCTAGTAAGAACTAACAAAAATGCCTGGTTGCCTTGATTTAGGACTATAAGCAATTTATGACTGGAAATCCATTCCAATTTGTGGCCATAACTTTAGTAGGACTCCCTGTACTCTGCAAAACATTATACATACTCCCCACACATTTTAAACTCTTTTGTGTAATCACTTAGGTAAGTTACTAATGCGGCTTTCCCTCATTGTGTACTCTCTAGTATCTGAGGTTGCCTCACTAGAAAAAATAGTTTTCCCACATCGAACATTTCTAGGATTTCCCTTCTGGGATTCTGTGATGTTCCTAGAAAACGTTAAGATGTGACTGTTGAAAAACATTGTTCACAACTGAGGAGATTTATCTCTGCTATGGACTTTCTGGTGCATTTTTAGCTTTGATTTCCAATGAAAATCTTTCTCGCATTCTGCACTCTTGTAAGGCCGCTCTCCTGTGTGACTTTTGCTGTGCATGCGAAGTGTTGAAGAATGGGCAAAACATTTCCCACACTCCAGACATTTATATGGTTTTTCTCCCGTGTGGATTCTCTGATGCATCACAAGAGTATTTTTCCGTGAAAAACATTTATCACACTCTGAGCATTTGTGAGGTTTCACTCCTGTATGGATTTGGCTGTGATTTATAAGGGTACATGACCGAGCAAATGCTTTCCCACAGTCTAAACATTTGTAGCTTTTCTCCCCTGTGTGAATTTTTATATGGCTTTTAAGGGCTGAGGTGCTACTATAAAATCTTCCACATTCGAAGCATTGATGTGGCTTCTCCCCTGTGTGGATTTTATGATGTCTCCAAAGGTGTCCCTGTTGAGCAAAACATTTCCCACATTCTAGGCATTTGTACGGCTTCTCTCCTGTGTGGACCGTCTGATGCCTTCCAAGGTTTTGTTTTTGGGTAAAGCATTTCCCACACTCCCCACATTTGTATGGCTTTTCCCCTGTGTGGATTCTCTCATGATTCTTAAAATGGGCTGGCGAACTAAAACTTTTTCCACACTCCCCACATTTATAGGATAACTCCCCTCTGTGCCATTTCTGGTGTCTCTGAAGTTCATAAGAATACATAAATCGTTTCTCACATTCCGGACATTCATAGGGTCTCTCTCCAGTGTGACGTCTCTGATGTTGCACCAGATCTGATTTCGTGGAAAAACATTTCCCGCATTCGAGGCACTTCTCGTTTTTCTCCCCTCTGTGAGTTTTCTCATGACTCCTAAGACCTGAACTCTGGGTGAAAGATTTCCCACACTCAAAGCATTTGTAAGGTTTGATTCCTGTATGAATCTTCCCATGGCGCCAAAGACTTCCGTTCTGAGAAAAGCTCTTCCCACATTGCCAACACTTGTAAGGTTTCTCCCCTGTGTGAATTCTCTCGTGGTTTCTGAGGGTGACTTTGTCACGGAAAAATTTCCCACATTCAAGACACTGATAAGGTTCCTCTGCAGTGTGGGTTTTCTGATGTATCAGAAGGTCTGACTTTTGACCAAAGCATAAGTGGCATTCCTCACATTTATAGGGTTTTAGTCTGGGGAGGCATCTGAGAGCTTTGGCGTCTTTTCCAGAAAAGAATTTCTCACCCTCCAAATCCTGACTGGATCCGCTTCCCACATGAACCTTCCTGTGGGTCAAAAGGAGGGACCTGCGAGCAAAGAGCTTCCCACACTTTGAGCATTCATGGGTTCTTTTGTGGTTTTTCAGAGTGCTGCTTGTGTCTGACGGGGGATCTGAGAGTTTCCTAGGCTCCATCCTGTATTTCTGTTGATTGTTAGCTTGCAGATAAATCTTTGGAAACAATATTTTATTTCTGTTAAAAAAAATAGAAATGAAGAATAATATTTCTTTTTGAGAAAGGTAGAGAATCACAGGCTACTCCTCTTGGAAGGGACCATGAAGGTCTTCCAGTCTGACCCTCTGCAGTACACCCCCGAAAAAATCTCCACTGATTTTGTCCCCCCACATCTCTCAGATGCAACCTCTTCCTGCTGTTCATTACCTCTACCCTTCCCTCCTCCTTGGTTCTTGTCCTACAACAAAGTGAAACAGAAACTCTGAAGCTAGAGGTAGTCCTCAATTTATGAACACAATTGGGGCTGCAATCTCGGTTGTTCAGTGAAGCAGTAGTCAAGTGAGAGGCCACGTGGCCATTTCACTCCCCAAACGTAATCCCACAGTCCTGATTGGGGTCATTAAGTGATCTTGAGCGTTCTTAAGTGGAGGGAGGGAGCCTCAGCCAATGGCTGTGGGGTTTTTTCAGGGCTGGGGATGGCCTGGAGATGAGGCACAGGCCACCCATGAATTGGGGAGCTATTGAAGTGGGATTCAAAGGTGCAGCCATTCCTGGAAGCCTGACCACCCAGACTCAGGCATGCAAAGCAGGCCTGATTGACAACAGTGCTGGAGCTGGGCCTTAAATAGAAGCCTTTTGGCCTTCAACAGGTTCAGCCAGCTCCCACTGACTCCAGGCCTGGACTTCAGCCCAGCACTACCCTGTCACTGAGAAACGGGGGCTTAATCCCCAGACTGGAGGCCTCGGCAACCTTGGGCCATTCTCCAAGCCCCATGTTCCATACTGTTGCTAAGCAACGTATCCCAAAGCATCTCTGAGCTTCTCCAGGACCCCCTCAAGTCGCACATGGGCTGTGCCAGGACTCCCAGGGCCTCTCCTACCCATTTCAGACAACCCTTATCTGGAACTTTGTCTACTTATGAAGTAGCTTAACAACCACAAAAATGAATGTAGGAACGCGGTCGTTGAGCAAAGCAGTCTTAGGATATTTCATTTAATGAAAGCTCCTCTCAGAGGCTGAGATTCCGGACTGAATTGTGGTCATAATAGGAGGAGTACCTAGAGGGAATCCCCAAAAATTAAGGCATTGCATAAGTAAGGAAAAGAAGAGGCAGCATGGACCAGTGCCGTGGACAGAGGTTATTCCGTGGCCCGGAGGGTATGGTTTTGGGTGCTACCTACATCCCGCAGACAGGGCTTTGCTTGCTTGTGCGGCCCAGTTTCTGGCATCCTGTGGCCTGTGCCAGCCCACAGACTGGGGTTTGGGAAACCCTGGGGTAAGCGACCCATTTCTTATTCCCTTTTCTTTCTTTTTCTGATTTTTACATCATGATGTCTTGATCCTCAGTTCATTGCGACCCATTTTATAGATTTTACAAGATACTACAAAAAGGGGGGAAATGGATGCAGAAAATTATGGACCAATCAATACATGGGAAGATCATGGAAAAAATAATCAAGCAAGGAATCTGTGAACATTTAGAAACCAGCAAGGCTCTTACCAGAAGCCAACATGGGTTTGTCAAAAGCAGATCGCGCCACACAAAACTTACTGTATTTTTTGTCAAAGTGACTAAAATAGTGAACAGCGTAATGCTGTAGACATAATATACCTTGACTTCAGTAAGGCGTGTGACAAAGTAGGCCACAAACCACTTCTTCATAAGATAAAAAAATGTTGGATAGACAGCATCACTAGATGGATTCAGAACTCGCTGACCAAGAGCATTCAACATGTGGTCCTTAACAGAATTACCTTATGCCTTCAACCAGCATCTTGGGAGCAAAACCCAATTTTTCTACATTGCTGTTTTCTCAAATAAACAATTAAAAAATATATGATTACTCTCCAAACCAAGAGTTAACCGACATTTGTTTACTCACCATTATAGTTGCAGCTAACAGGTCTCTAGGTCACCTGTTTCCCCCTCTGAGTCAAGGCCAGGGATGACCCTCACTGCTGACCAGTTTGATTTCTCCTTAATCGATTGGCCCTTTGTGCAGGAAGCTGCTTCTCCAACTGGGCCACGATTTCCAAATTCTCTAGAATGGAGTCCTGGCCAAAGATTTGTGGGTCTCGATCCAAGAACGCTCCTTCTCCTCTGCGGAACTCACGGCCACATCCTCACTGGTCTCCTGCAAAGAGAAAGGAAAAAGGCTCAGATCCCGACAGTAATGCTGAACATAATCTATAAATGACCTGGAGTTGGGAAGAGAAAATAGGATTATTTGTTATTGATACAAAATGAAAAATGATGGGGATTGAATCCTGATTCAAGATCTTGATGGGCCAAAATAGAAGAAACCAGCAAGATGAAGCCCAACAGGGACGGATGCAGAGTTGTGAGTAGGAAAACTCAAAGGAAGATGAGAGAGAGAGATCAGATGGGGCAGAGCATTTTCCCTGCTCTTTTGGGAGGCTTGAAGGTCATAAACATTCCAGATAGGCGCTTTGAAAAACATTTACAATTGTGAAAGGCAGCCTTTTAGCCATCAGCTTCTTTTATTATCTACTCACAAGAACAGCCCCCAAACTTTCTTTATACTTTCTAAAACATCCACCAAGAAGGGGCTGCCACATCACAGCGTTTTTTGGGCAAAACAAGAAAAATATAAAATTTACAAATTCGACTCGTTTTTTTAAAGCAGAAGCAAAATAAACATTAGTATCAAGACAAGAGATTCATTTTGTTTCCCTTTTACACCGAGAACAAAGAAATAGCATCTGTTGGGGATGAAGAGGACATGAGCTCAATTCAGTTGATTTTTAGACCTTTTCTTTCCGCCAAACCCTCCCCGTTGCAATCAGGTCCCTCTGTGTTAATACCACGGTACAAATCTCAATAAACATTTGAAAGCTCCCTTTACTCCATTTTTGCCCCTGCACGTGCGGGATCTGCATGCTCAGAGACCTTGTGCTCCGACGGACCACAATGAGGACCTCTGGAGAAACAAAGGTCCTTCCCGGAACCACCCGGAGCCCCACGGGGGAGCCTTGGGCGGGGGAATCCAGCGCCGATCCAGCCCGGAGAATATCCCAAGAAGATCCAGCGCCGATCCTCCCAGGGGAAAGAGGGACACGAGGAGGGAAGCGGAAATCCAACGAGTGGGAAAGGAGAGGGCGGAGTTTTTGCGCTCTTCTCAGGCTCCGCCCCCGCCTTGCAGCCACGCCCCTTGGCAGCCTCCCCTCCCTCTTAATCTGCCTTCCCAGCCGCGACCACGTGCTCCGAAACCTCCTCTGATCCTCCGATGGGCGTCAGTGTCGCGGGTTCCTCTGCCCATGGGCAGAGTGTCCTCTGTGCAAGCTGAAAGAGGGGCTGCCCCTCCTGCTCCAGTGTGTCTGTGTGTTTGTATGAGGCCAGACAGGTGTCAAAAGTGATACTTTTTTTCTTCTTTTTTCTGACTCTGAAGTCGCTTCAGAGTGCCAGTAACTGGCAGAAATTTATAGTTCACTTTTTTATACCTGCTGAAAGATTTGATTGCCTTTTCCGCCTAACTGGATAGTAAACATTTACTTTCACTCGCAGGAGCTTTTAATTCAGATGCCTTCTGAACGCCTTACAGCAGGAGTCTTCAAGCTTGGCCCTTTTATGACTTCGGGACTTCAACTCCCAGAATTCTTCAGCCAGCATCCCTGGCTGAGGGATTCTGGGAATGGAAGTCCCCAAGTCATGAATTGGCCAATCTTGAAGACCCCTGTCTTACAGGAATCTCTAATAGCCTGTAGTGCAGAGATTACCTGACCCTCCATCCTGAGAGTTTAAATTGGGTGGGGCCCCTGAGCATGGATGGGTTTTCTCACATTCTCCTTGTGGCCCATCTCCCAATCCCCAGAGTCCACTAGGCCAGGGGTAGGCAACCTTGGCTCTTTTATGTCTCCTGGACTTCAACTCCCAGAATTCTGTGCAGCAGGGCTCAGCTTGGAAACCTCTCCCTTTCCCCTCAGCATGGCTGGATCAGGAATTCTGAAGAATCCCTGACCCTCCATCCTGAGAGTTTAAATTGGGTGGGGCCCCTGAGCATGGATGGGTTTTCTCACATTCTCCTTGTTGCCCATCTCCCAATCCCCAGAGCCCACTAGGCCAGGGGTAGGCAACCTTGGCTCTTTTATGACTCCTGGACTTCAACTCCCAGAATTCCTGAGCCATCATGACTCAGCTTGGAAACCTCTCCCTTTCCCCTCAGCATGGCTGGCTCAGGAATTCTGGGAGTTGAAGTCCCCGAATCATAAAAGGGTCAAGTTGGAAGACCCCTGCTGTAAGGCGCTAAGAAGGCATCTGAATTAAAAGCTCCTGGAGTGAAGTTAAATATTTATTGTCCAGTTAGGCGGAAACGGCAATCAACACCTTCTTGGGACATGCAGCAAGGCCTAGTGGTTAAGGCCCCGGGTTAGAAAGCAGGAGACCGTGAGTTCCAGTCCCACCTTGGGCGGGTCACTCTCTCAGCCTAACCCACCTCACAGGGTTGTTGTGAAGAAAATAGAAGGAAGAAGACATGTGGGATACGTTCCCTGCTTTGCATTATTTGTAAAAACAATAAAGGTGGATATAAATACAAATAAAAAAATGAAATGATTTCCATTTTGCAGTGGCTTAACAGGCTTGCTTCCCTGTTGCATTTGTATTGCCTCTATGGGAACAAGCGCGAGATCTGGGCTGCTCCCCCAAACTCTCTTCTTTCCTGCCCGGTGGGCTCTGGGGATTGGCAGGTGACCAATAAGAAGAACGTGAGAAAACCCATCCATGCTCAGGGGCCCCACCCAATTTAAACTCTCAGGATGGAGGCTATTAGAGATGGCTGTAAGACAGGCGTCTTCAAACTTGGCCCTTTCATGACTTGGGGACTTCAACTCCCAGAATCCCTCAGCTAGGGACGCTGGCTGAAGAATTCTGGGAGTTGAAGTCCCCAAGTCATAAAAGGGCCAAGTTTGAAGACCCCTGCTGTAAGGCATTAAGAACTG